GACTGGGAGCTGGATTAGTTATTAACTGGGATTATAATCAGACTCCACTGACACTGACAGAGCAGTCTGAGACACTGCAGGCTAGACTGGACTGGGAGCTGGATTAGTTATTAACTGGGATTAAATCAGACTCCGCTGACGGACTGGACTGGCTGGACTGGGAGCGGAGTTATTAATGTGCCGGTGTCTCCGAAGCCGGGCTGGGCTCTGCTCTCTCCGGGATTCTTCCTGTTCGGAGTGTGGCGAGCTCCTCCAGAGCTTTCCGAGGAGGCAGAGGAAAGGCTGTGTTTAGGTTTCGGTTTCCTCGAGCAGGATAAACTGGATTTTTCCTTGCGTGTGACCTGTTTGGCGACTCGCAGGAGACGGTGTCGCGCTGCGGGCGCCCCCAGCAGGTTCCAGGAAGCCCACGCTGCCGGTTCGGGGTCACGCGGGGCGCCCTGCTGAGTTGGCGTTCCGATCTGCTGAGCTCGTCACTCGTGGAGAGCGGTCAAGAGGAACTGGTGCCGTTGATAACAGAGCAGTACTGTCTGTGTGCTCGCTCGCTCTCTGTTAATCAGTGCCGGCCTCTGTCCCTCCTCTCCCTCCTCTCCCTCCTCTCTCTCGCGCTCTGCGAGCTCAGAGCTTCTCTTCCCTAGAAACTCTGCTCCGTGTTTCTCCTTCTGCCCCACAGGGGGCAGCTGCCTTTGCCCCCGCCCCTCTCAGATGGAGACGTCAGACCCCCACGAGCCGCGGTGTCTGCTCTCTCGGGCCGCGCTCACCCCCGTCTCCGTCCCCCCAGGCTACGACTTCGCCGCCGTGCTGGAGTGGTTCGCCGAGCGGGTCGACCGCATCATCCTGCTGTTCGACGCCCACAAGCTGGACATCTCGGACGAGTTCTCGGAGGTCATCCGCGCCCTCAAGAACCACGAGGACAAGATGCGGGTGGTGCTGAACAAGGCCGACCAGATCGAGACGCAGCAGCTGATGCGGGTGTACGGCGCCCTCATGTGGTCGCTGGGCAAGATCGTCAACACGCCGGAGGTGGTGCGCGTCTACATCGGCTCCTTCTGGGCGCAGCCCCTGCTGGTGCCCGACAACCGCAAGCTGTTCGAGGCCGAGGAGCAGGACTTGTTCCGGGACATCCAGGGCCTGCCGCGCAACGCCGCGCTGCGCAAGCTCAACGACCTCATCAAGCGCGCGCGGCTCGCCAAGGTAACGGCCCGCCGTCGGGCGGCGCGGCTGCGTCCG